ATTTTAGAAATGGGAGAAGAAACCCAACCCAACCCCCAAAAACTGACGTTGCAAAGCAATAACTTTAAATATATAGACCAAGAGAGAATATTCTATTAATTTTTTTTTTTTTTACGTATTCTATGTTTTATTCTTAACTAACATAGCACTAATATAAGAATAACGTATACAATTATATTCTTATATTACCTGACGAAATATAGATAAGAGTTTCCAAAAAAAAACAAATTGAATATATAGCAAGTAGAATATATGCCGGATAATTTGTCAATCAATGAAGAAAATGGATCGATACATAGCAAGTAGGATACTTGTAATTCGGGCTCGTACTATTTGAATAGTTAAGATTTTTATTCGGGTTTGTTATTTCGGATATAACTAAGAAAATTAATTACTCAAACAAGTAATTAAGGTATCCGAATAATTACCAGATTCGATAGAATAAACTATCTTGATTCTTGACCTTAGATGCACAAATCTAAATTAATAATGTAAAATTTTATTCAGTTATTTATACTATTTTATAGTTGAGCAAATTAAAAATTATAGAGGGAAAATGAGAGGAGGCCAACTACAAACATAAATAAAACAAATGGAACTAAAATGCGTATTTTTGCCTTTCGGCATGCTGACGTCAGTAACCTTGGTTAGATTCGCGCCACGTATGAGACAAATCAGTGTGGGTCCCTTTGTCGACTAGGCCCGTCCCTTCTAATAAACTGTCGGTAGGTCTTAAATGTTTCCACGTGGAGATCTCAAATTGGTTTTTTTTTTTAATTAATTTTCTGTGGAGAAATGAGGAAAAATAATTATTTTATGGTTTTTTTGTTTTTGACAAATATCTCGTGTTCAAAATTTGTTAACGAAAACGCATAAAAAGGTGGGACAAAAGGACAAGTGCAAACAAATATGTTTAAGAAAAATGATATGTGTTGGCCACAATCAAAGATAGATGTGTTACGATTGAAAGCAAAATGACCTAAATCGTAGCCTAATTTCGGTTTGAAATGTGAATTATGTGGTTAACCTCGTACATGTTCTACCCTA